TAGTATTTCAAGATCTATGATTTTTTAGAAACACTAGTATGATATTCTTTGAGAATATTGAAACATTGAATTGGATGCTCTTCTGGAACGATAAATTATTTCTTTTTGAATATTAATAAAACTTAGTTTCCTTCTTTAATTTTATTATCTCTCACTAACCTTTTTCGACAAGATGAATATCAGTATTGAGTATCATGACAAATAATTTTTGCCAGATATGTCCAGTGCAACAAACTCAAATTTTGTTAGAACATGTACGGCATAGCTTAAAAGCTACAAAAAGAAACCAAAAGGCAGTGTGAGTATTAAAGGTTATACCTTTTTTTTTAAGCATTGAAGTTAAGCCAGACATACTCTACCAAGTTGAACTAGACCACATACATCGAAACTGTACTCTTGTCACATCTTTGAAGGTGAACAATGAATTCGGCAGGGCGTGTTAAAAGTAAAATTTAAATAAATTTGTACGATCTCAGATCACTTAATCTTTTAGATGAAGTGGTTGAAGACTTAGTGCGTGAATTTCATATTACTATAGGTTTGCATTGAACTTTGCCTTGAGTCATAAGCTTTTCGTGATACTAAGGGTCTGTAACGTCTGTTTGATGCAAAATTTTTGAGAATAGATTTTATAAAAATTGATCTTTTTGGAGAATGTATGGTTAAAAAATAAAGAAAAGTCTATGGATCCACATGTAAAATTATTTTATTGAGAGGATGTACGGTTGAAAATAAGGTTTCATGAATTTGTACCAAAAAGGGCCGAGGATGAGTGAGCATACGATATATATTCAAGACGAAGTCCCATGGATGCAATTCTTGAATCTTGATAACATAGTTTTAGGTGAGAGTAGGAGAGATTTTAATTATAAGTTAGAACTCTAGAGAAACTCTTCAGAACATAAAGATTTTAGATTAAGTAGAATTAAGACAGCATCTATGTTATGCACTTTTAGTCAAAACAAGAATAATTAAGAACTATATATCCTCAAGTCACTACAGAGGATTATTTTCGAAAAAATGGTCCTTTTTAAGGTGAGAACAACTTATAGCTTCACATGGTTGGCCTTCCTACAACAACAAATGCCTTTTTCTTCTATTTGGTCTAAAGCAAAACAAGGATGAGAAGTAGCATTTGGTTTAAACCTACATAACTGCAACAAATTTACATTTTGTTGCTTTTGGCTACTCCAAAATTTAAAGGGTGTTTGGTGTGAATTAAAATTAGATTTTTAGTAGATCGAGATAGAAGTTTTTGAAATGTGTGGTTGAAAAGTTGTGGGACCCATGAAAATGTGGTTAATATTGATTGTTTGACATTGACTTGGATCAAACTAAGATTTTAATCCGAAACAAACAGGGCCTTAAGGTATGATTATTGGGCACCGATTGAATGGACTCATGGAAGTTCCCATTTATGGAGCAATTTGATACAGTAGAAATGTTTATATTTTAGAACTTTTGTATCTTATAACTGGCTTAAAAATTTTTCATTCTGTTTTCCAGAGAAACAACTGATATTTGTACAATCACCGCATCACCAAACTTTGGAACACTTAGGCTTGTCTCTGGTGCTGGTTATTCAGTTTGCGACGTCAATGATAATAATAACCTGGACTTGAATGAAGAAGCGCCATAGCTCACAGAGGATAAGAAAATTTATGAAGCTGAAGAAATTGACAGAATTGTGAGAGCACATTCATCATGGTCAAAAGAGGCCTCATTCAAGGAGCAACTGAATTGAGAACTTCCTATTAGCCATGGATGTAGCTTAGTTCAGACCATATTCAATGATGAGAAATATACAATATTGGACCATACTAGACAATACAATGGACGTGATTTTAACTTATTTTTCTTTCTTAATACTATCGAGTACTGTTTGGTCTACCTTACCAAACATGATATTAAGAGCTTATCATGTGACAATATAGGTGTCAATGTAATGGCGGGAGTTGGACTTCTTTCTACACCATATACGGTTAAAGAAGCTGGATGGGCAAGTTTAGCCGTGCCTATTCTCTTTGCATTTTTCTGTTGTTATACCGCTTTACTTATGAAACATTGCTTTGAAAGTAAAGAAGGCATCTCGGCCTTTCCAGACATGGGAGAAGCTGCATTTGGAAAATATGGGCACATCTTTGTATCAGTAAGTGTTAATAATTGAGGTTCCATCTTAAAAGGTCAATCTCGTTAAGAGGAGTAGCCCGCCTATTAATTGGTATGTGTCAACATCATTTCTCCATGTGGGACATATATCCCTTAACACGCCCCCGCAAGATGATGGCTCATTTGAGCAAACCAATTTTGAAATCCACGTGCTCATTTTAGGAGTTTTAACGGGACCAAATCGCTCGTTGAAGCATAATGGGCTCTGATACCATATTAAGAATTGGGGTTCTATTTTAAAAGGTCAACCCTATTAAGAGGAGTAGCACAAGATCTTTATTAATTGGTCTGTGTCAACATCATTTATCGATGTGGGATATATATCCCTTAACATGTTAAGAATTGGAGTTTCATCTTAAAAGGTCAACTTTATTAAGAATAGTAGCCCAAGATCTTTATTAATTGGTCTATGTCAATATCATTTATCGATGTGGGATATATATCCCTTAACACGTCCCCGCAAGATGGTGGCTCATTTGAGCAGACCAATCTTGAAATCCACGTGCTCATTTTAGAGTCTTAACGAGATCAAATCGCTCGTTGGAACATAATGGGCTCTGTTACCATGTTAAGAATTGTGGTTCCNTCTTAACGGGATCGAATCGCTTGTTCCAGCATAATGGGCTCTGATACTATGTTAAGAATTGAGGTTCCATCTTAAAAGGTTAACCTTATTAAGAATAATAGCCTAAAATCTTTATTAATTGGTCTGTGTCAATATCATTTATTGATGTGGGATATATATCCCTTAACACGCCCCAGCAAGATGGTGGCTTATTTGAGCAGACCAATCTTGAAATCCACGTGCTCATTTTAGAGTCTTAACAGGATCGAATCGCTCGTTGGAGCATAATGGACTCTAATACCATGTTAAGAATTGAGGTTCCATCTTAAAAGGTTAACCTTATTAAGAGAAGTAGCACAAAATCTTTATTAATTGGTCTGTATCAACATCATTTATCGATGTGGGATGTATATCCCTTGACACACCCCAGCAAGATGGTGGCTCATTTGAGCAGACCAATCTTGAAATCCACGTGCTCATTTTAGAGTCTTAACATGATCGAATCGCTTGTTCGAACATAATGGGCTCTGATACCATGTTAAGAATTGAGATTCCATCTTAAAAGGTCAACCTTGTTAAGAGGTGACTCATTTAAGCAGACCAATTTTGAAATCCAGGTGTTCATTCTAGAGCCTTAACGGAATCGAATCGCTCGTTGGAGCATAATGAGCTCTGATACCATGTTAAAAATTGATGTTCCATTTTAAAAGGTCAATCTTGTTAAGAGGAGTAGTCCAAGATCTTTATTAATTGGTCTGTGTCAACATCATTTATCGATGTGGGATATATCCCACTTGACATGTTAAGAATTGGGGTTCCATCTTAAAAGGTCGACCTTGCTAAGAGGAGTAGCCCAAGATCTTTTATTAATTGGTCTGTCTCAACATCATTTATCATTGTGGGATATATATCCCTTAACAGTAAGTTCATAAATATGTAATTATGTAAAACTTATTATGAATAAGTTAGCTGACCATTTTTCTTCTTCTTATTCTTTATTTTGGTGCAGATCATTTTGTACTCAGAGCTATATGTAAGTGAACTGCCTTCTCTCTCAAGATTTTCCACATTACTAGGGCCTATATGTAGTACTCGAGCATACAACTGACATTCATTCCACTAGTGCAGACTGCGTGTGTAGAATTTATTATTTTGGAAGGGGATAATCTTACTCGGCTATTTCCTAGGGCATCTATCAACTTGTCGGGGCTTTCAACTAGACTCTACACATCTATTCGGAATTCTTACCGCTCTTATCATTTTACCAACTGTGTGGTTGAAAGACCTTCGCTTGATCTCGTACCTTTCAGGTGTTCTATTGTACATTGCTCCCATTTCATTTGTTTTAAGAATTCATGTTTTGCTAAGCTTCAAAAAGTGTAACATAATTGGATATGCTGTTTTTTTTCCACACTTTTCTTAAAAAAGTTACTTATAAGTAACTTACCCCTTTGCAGTTGGCGGTGTGATAGCAACAGTTGTGTTAATTCTTTGTCTGCTCTTAATTGGTACCACGGAGGGAATTGGATTTCATCCAAGTGGTCAAGTGCTAAATTGGAGCGGCATTCCTTTTGCAATTGGCATCTACGGTTTTTGCTATTCAGGACATTCTGTTTTCCCAAATATATATCATTCAATGGCCGATAAAACCAAATTTATCAGAGCACTTGTAGTATGGTAATAGAGTCATCGTTATGCTTTCTTTCCCCATTTAAATTGTGTGAATTGATTATCACAGTTTCTTTTGGTTCTCGACTTCCCATTTTTGGTAACCATTAAGTTTGCTGGCTGTACAGTTTCTTTTTGTGTGTTCTTATATACGGTGGTGCTGCAATCATGGGATTTCTTATGTTCTGCCGAGACACGAAGTCACAGATTACTTTGAATTTACCTCAACATACGGTTGGATCTAAAATTGCATTATGGACAACAGTGAGTATCAAACTCGGGATTCTCCTCGAGCCTTTATTGTAATGCAAAGAGAAAATGAGAGTTTCCTCATTTAGAGCGTGTTTCTCTAAACTTTAAACAAGTGAAAGTTACTTTTAGGTAACTTTTTATTTCCAAATATCCCCACCATGTATAACTTTGTGTACAGGTTGTCACCCCGCTCACCAAATATGCCTTGTTAATGAACCCATTGGCCAGAAGTATAGAGGAGCTGCAGCCTGCTCGACTCTCCAATATTTTTTGGTGTTTCATTCTTCTACGGACGGCTCTAGTTGTTTCTTCTCTATTCGATGCATTTGTTATTCCCTTTTTCGGTAAGCCATGCAACGCAGGGTGCTGAGATTATCTGTTTTAGTTCCTTGATTCTATTTCAGGCGTAAGATTATAACACGTTTGTCTACGAGTTTCATGAC